CTCGTTTTTGATGTTTTTTTTATAAACAGGAAGGAAACCCCAGGCCCTCAGAGGAAGCCCCTCCCCTTCCCCTCCCCACCTGCTCCTGGGGCTGCAGCCCCTGCTGGGTGGGTCCTGAGCGCCCCCTGCAGCCCAGCCTGCGCCCTGCAGGGAGGGTCCTGTCTGGGCTCACAGGGCGTGGCCTCTAGCATCTCTCGTCCAGTGTTAAATGTCTGTGCCCTGACCTCACAGTGCTCCTTCAGGGCACAAGTTTGACACCTTCTCTGGAAACAGTGACTTGTCCTCACTGAACCCCAATGACTCTGCAGGTTGTCCCCAAGTAAGGCCTTTATGAAACCCCCACGGAGCCCCTTCACTGAGCTGCCAGATCCACTGACACAGTCCTGAGTCCCGAAGCTCAGGGTTTTGGAGGCCTCTTACCTCGTCTAGGTTCCTCTGGTTGAAGGTGACGCCTGGGAATCCCTGCATTGTCTCACAGCCCTCTCTACCTCTGCTAGTCAATACATTAGACACACACAGAGTGCGTGATTTTAGTAGTAATGGGCCTGCAAATGTCTTTATACTCTGTACCCAGTTCAGGGGTCATCCCCCTCTTGGACCATAAGCATTGGCGTGTCACTTCTCTTGTAGATAAAACCCCAGGAAATGGGACACATGCACAGACTTGGGAAGAACCTGCACCCTGGCTCTGCTTTTCGCACAGCCCATGGGACCCGTGCGTGTGTTTCCAATTATCACAGTGGAGGCTCTTCTTGCATCTTTCATTCTGTGATGGGTTCAGGAGACATAATTGATCTCCATTTTTCCAGGTTTCCTTCTAAGAATGGGAGTGATGATTTCCATAATCACTAATGTCGGTGCAGAAAGCAGGTAACCCTCAAAAGGTCAATTTGACCTGTTCATATAGGTGGGAATCTCGCCTCACTAAGGGTAAGAGGCACATGGACAGACATAACTGGACATAATATCAATGAAAGTCTTAAAAACTTCATGTCCCTCCCAGGAAGCTGGAACAGAAATTCCAAAAGGCAAGGAACCTGTTAAAGGTGATGTCTATTTGGAAAGGCATCCGTGCCCCTGGCTGGACCCAGGAGGTGCACCTGCTGCCTCTCACCAGGGACAGGAGCTCCCACTCCTTAAACACATTCCCAGGTGGGTGCAGAGCAGAGTGGGAGATGGGGGTGCCCTTGTCTTCCAGGATGCACTGGACATGAGGCCCCAAGTCCCATCTGAGAGGCTCTGATATAAGTGTGAGGACGTCTCATTAGCTCTGCCTTCTGAAACCTTTGGCTGAATCAGGATGATCAGGAATGTGACTTGTTTCCCTCTCATCATAGAACCTGCTTCACAGGTATTTATACCTGGAGAGCTTGCTATGGAGTGAATTCTACCCCCCCCCCCCATTTTGAAGGGCTTGTTCAAGCCCTTCCATTCCCATGTTGAAGCCCTATAACCCAGTGGCCTGTACTGGGAGAAAGGCTTGTAGGACATAATTATGGTTAAATGATCCAATAGGATCAGAGTATCCTTGTACAAAGAGGAAGAGAGAGACTTCCCTCCATCATGTAAGGCATGTGAGGGCTCAGCAAGAACGTGGTCAACTGCATCCAGGTCAGACCTTTCACCAGGACCAGACTCAGCTGGCACCTTGATTGTCAACTTTCCAGCCTCCTGAGCTCTGAAAATCAATTACTGTTGTTAAAACTGCATCACCTGTGGTACTTTTTCTGACAACTGAGTGAGAAATCTTCATAGTTTTGATTAAATAAAAATATTTGATAATTTCATAGAAAAGAATACATGTGTGAGTGATTGATAAATATGAAATGAAATGAGATGAAATAAAATAAAGATAAACAATAGTAGAAATTCTCTTTGGAAAAGAAAATGAAACATTGTAAATCTGCATTTTTCATCTTATAAGAATATATCTTCTAGTAACACCTACATTAAATATGTCTATGTGTGCTCCTGTGTGTGTGACCGTGTGTGTGTCCTCATGTATGTGTGTGTTATTTTGTGTATGACAATGATAACTTTCTATAAAATAGAGTCTTTTATTAAGTGTCTCTTAGGAAGCCCAGGGACATGGTCCTTGACGACCACATAAGATGGAGAAAGTCAAGTGAGGCACCAGCTGCTTTACCCACAGACATGTCAGGCTTTCCTCTCATTCCTCTCTTTTCTCCTGAGGCTCAGGGTTCTACATAGGGTTTGGGGAGTAAACCTGGGAACCAGCATTCCTGAAAACTGCAAGATGGGGGAGGATATTTATGTTCTCAGGTTCTTTGAAAAACGAATATGGGAGATTTAATTTCCATGTCAGGTAAATTTTTTATACCATAAGTTAACCCTCCAAAATATTAAAGAAGTAAATGTGTAATTTTCTATTATTGCTATATTATTATTTTTTCACCTGAGGATTCCCATACAAACAAGACAGGGCCCTGCAGTCTGAGAAATTACTGCACAGTGTCATTTGTAAATGAATCCTGTTCACAATACAGACCGAATTTAGGAGATGAAGCAAAAAAATATATACATACATGTATGTGTGCCATCTGTAAATACCTATTGTGTTTGAAATGTTAATACACCCTGTCTTTATTAGAGAACAGATGCAGTGATGAGTCTCTAGCGGTAGATATTGTTAATTAAACTAAGGAGACTCCACATGGTGACAGGACACTCCCCTCCCTTGTCCCTTCTTCCGGTTGCACCTGCCCCAGGCTCCTTCTTGAGCTCACATGTCAGAAGCGCCCTTGGTGGGCTGAGCTCAGCCTCCTGGACCCTCAGCGCCCCCTGGTGTCCCAGCGCCCCCTGCAGCCCAGCCCCCCTGTCTCCTGCAGGGAGGTTTGTGTCTGGGCTCACACTGACTTCCCCTCACTGTGTCCCTCGCACAGTAATACACAGCCGTGTCCTCGGAGGTCACAGAGCTCAGCTGCAGGGAGAACTGGTTCTTGGATGTGTCTCTGGAGATGGAGGTGCGGCTCTTGAGGGACGAGCTGTAGGCAGTGCTCCCACTATAACTAATGTGCCCGATCCACACCAGCCCCTTCTCCGGGGGCTGCCGGATCCAGTACCAGCAGTAACCACTGGTGATGGAGTAACCAGAGACAGTGCAGGTGAGGGACAGGGTCTGCAAGGGCTTCACCAGTCCTGGGCCAGACTCCTGCAGCTGCACCTGGGACAGGACACCTGGGGAGAAGGAGAATCAGTCTGTCAGTCACGTGCAGTCACAGCCACCCCATAGACCCGTGTCTGACATCTGAGCCCCTCACCTTGGGGGGCTGTCACCAGGCACAATGTGGGTCATGCTGTTGTTTTCCCAATGAGCCAACAGACGCTCCTGTCTCCTCAGACACTTGGTCCACTTGCTCCAGGTTCAGCTCTGCTTTTAGTTTATCCTCTGAGCTCTCTATGGGGAAATAATTGTCAGATGTAACTTCCCATGTCCCAACCTGCACCCACCTGTGTCTGTAACTCATCCTCTGGTCATGGTGGTTGGTTCCCCTTGGTGTGCTCTGTACTGGTGACCTTCATGGCATTTTACTTAAATTTTACCCTTTCTCTAGTTTTTCCTGCCTGATCTTTCTACGAGTTTTGCAACATGATCTAGTGTCCTGACATGGTGGTCCTGACATTACTGGGAATGTTCACCTGCCCTGGAGTTGAGTCAGGGGAGCAGCTGGGTCCAGTGGGGAGAGGTACCGGCCCAGATACAGTGGTGTATTTTTACCAGACATGGGAAATGAACACATTACACTCTGACCATGTCCTTTATGTCAGTGTCCTAACTCGGAGCTCCCTATATAGAAGGGGAACATGCAAATAGGGTCCCCTCTGCTGATGAAAAGAAGCCCAGCCCTGACCCTGCAGCTCTGGGACAGGAGCCCCAGCCCCGGGATCCCCAGCTGTCCCCATTCCGTGATCAGGACTGAGCACAGATGACGCACCATGGATTTTGGGCTCAGCTGGGTTTTCCTTGTGGCTATTTTAAGAGGTAATTTATGGAGAACATGAGACTCTGAGTATATGAGAGAACATGAGTGAGAGAAACAGTGGATGTGTGACAGTTTCTGACCAGGACCTCCATGTGTTCGCAGGTGTCCAGGGTGAGGTGCAGCTGGTGGAGTCTGGGGGAGGCTTGGTGCAGCCTGGGGGGTCTCTGCGACTCTCCTGCGCAGCCTCTGGATTCACCTTCAGTGGCTCCTACATGAGCTGGGTCCGCCAGACTCCAGGGAAGGGGCTGCAGTGGGTCCCAACCATTAGAAGTGATGGAAGTAACACATACTATGCCGACTCGGTGAAAGGCCGATTCACCATCTCCAGAGACAACACCAAGAACACGCTGTATCTGCAAATGACCAGCCTGAGAGCCGAGGACATGGCCGTGTATTACTGTGCGAGGGGCACAGTGAGGGGAAGTCAGTGTGAGCCCAGACACAAACCTCCCTGCAGGGGACAGGGGTTGGGCTGCAGGGGGTGCTCGGGACACCAGGGGGGTACTCAGGACACACTGAGCACAGGGACCAGCTCCAGGAGCAGGTGGGGACCCGGGTGGGGAAGAGACTTCCTTTGGGAACAGAGTTTTCCTCTGAAATTTCTCAGCTGTTCTCAGGACCAAGTCTAGAATCATTTGTGACCCTAATGTCTCCTATTCTCAGAAGCCAACAAAGTCGAAACAGTGTTTGCAATGACGTATCACCAGTGACTGGGGACCTTTCCTTCACCAAATTGCTGTATGTACTTGTTTTGTCACAGAGAGACCATCCTGAGGGCTCTCGTCTTCCCAGTGGTTGGGAAACATTTCCTGCAAGGAGAGACCCCAGCACAGTCCAGGCCCCTGTGTGCTGAGCTCAGGCTCTCTGCCCCCCACATGCCCACGGGGTCCCCACATGGCCCTTCCTTCCCACAGGCACACGTGGCCCCACGGGATTATGTTCAGCCCCCAGGACCTCCACCCCCATGGTCTCCGTCCTCCCTACAGCATCACAGCCTTAACCTCTCAGTCCTCATTCACTTGGGTGGAGTTTGAAACCAACCCCAGCATCACCTTCTGCCCTCTACTGTCCTCATTCTCACTAAATTCATCCTAGACCCTGAGCTCCATGGGGCTGGAGCTCTGCTCACACTCCCAGCTCCCCCACAGTACCTGTCACAGAAGGGAGGTCCAGTAAGTACGTGGGCATTCACATGCCCCCACGTCATCTCCTAATTCATCTCACATGGGTGTCCATCTGTGGACACCCCAGGGCAGGTTCCACTCACTGGGTCAGAAGGGGCCCCTGCTGAGTTGACATGTCCTGGAGACATATGACTCACAGTGACACAGGCACTATTGCAGGACAAGACCTTCATAAGAGAGGGCACATCTGGCTGCTGACCACTGGGCACCACTAACAAGTCAGAAGGTTTATCACACAGGACATCCAAATGGACCCAGATTTAGAAAGTAACATGGTGGACATGTCATGGGTGGCTATGGTGACATAAAGGACAGCGAACAGTGTGGGTGTTTTGGTTACTCCTCATGTCTCAGTGACCAGCCTCTCTCCGGCCCACTCACCAGGACACACGCTCCCTCTGCCTTCATCATCCCAGGCCCAGGTGCCCGGCACAGGGAGACGCCCCTCACCTCTGAGCCCCGACATTATTCAACCTCATCCATCCAAAGCTGCTCACCTGCCGCCCCTCCTTTCCCAGGGAAAGCCCAGCGAGCCAGGTCCTCAGATGCCCCTCGCTCCATGTCTCCTGCCTCACGACCATTAATCTATATTACAAAGGGACAGCGGTCATTGCAGCCCAGCCCTGGGCATCAGGATAGACAGTGGGGACTGAGGAAGCTGCAGGTCATGAGCACATATCCCTGAGTCATCAGTGACCCCACAGCCGACACCCCCATGTCCCTGACCTCCATCAGAAAGGGATGGAAAGGCCAAAATCCTCAGACCTAGATGTGTGCTTCCTGGGACCTACAGAGATGATTGTCATGCAGATAAAGAACTGTCTGCAGACCTTCTCAGGATGCTCTACAAATACAACATTGCCAAAGTGTTTTGTTATTTTCAGTTACTATTGAAGAGTTTCTGAAAGTGGGAAGAGACTTGTGATGTAGCTTCAATAATGAAGATTGTGTGGCATTGGTGGGGGATGGACACACATCAATGGACCAGAATATGTGTGACCTTGGATAAGCCAACGGCTCGCTAGATATGACACAGAAAGTACAGACCTTAAATAGCAATAAGAAATAGGAGATTGGGAAGGACTGTCTTCTATTGTATGATTATATTTACAGCAACTATTACTAAAATATTTTTATATTTCTGTCATGTATATAAATACTTGATAACTGAATAGATTTAGACTGTTCGGTGTCAGAATGAGTCTGTACAAAATGCTAATCACTTTAATAATTATTACAAATACCTGTAAGTTTTAAAAACCTGTGATCTGCTCAACGAGCCCACCAATTATTTTTATACTCAAAAAAAGTGGGGCTTTTCTTTGACCTTTTTCAGTGTATCTCATAGACCACGTGCTCTTTCATCTCAGACTAAGATGCTGAGAATTCAAGAGAAGAGACCCTACTGGGCCCAGAAGGACCAGGGGGGCCTGACTCAGTCCCTCCCCACTTATAAGGACCAGGCTGCCCACATGCAAATTTTTCTGCAGGCTCCAGGGTAAAACCCTCCTTGGGCTGTGAGCTCACAGCTGTCTCCTCACACAGGGCTGAGTCTCTGGGGAAGGCAGAGCTGTGGTCTAGAAGATGAGGCTGCTGGGTCTTCTCCCGTGCCACGGGGCGTGTTCAGTTCTGGGGTCCGGGGCTGTCTATGCAGCAGCGTCACTGTCCCCATTTCTGTTTTATTCTCCAGGCTCCCTTCTAAGACCAGCTTCAACAGTATTGGACAGAGATGAAACTCAACCATAACTAGGTATTTCCTGTTGTAGGTGTATGCAAATATAAGGAGTAGAGGTTATGGAATTACTGTTATCAAAAATAATTTCAGTGAAATATTCGACACATTGTGTAAATTAAAGGTGTACAACATGGGAAATGGATACTTTTGTGTATTGTGTGATTCACATTGTAGTCATAATTAGCAACTCTATTATGTTAATTATTACCTTTTAATGCTTGGAATATCGAAGTTGTTCTCTCTTAGAAAGTTGGTGAATATAATGCAGTGTTGTTGTCTACATTCACTACACTGTGCACTAGATCTCTCAGGTTTATTTACTGCACGTTGCAAGTCTGTGCTTTTAAACTAGTGAACATCTTGATGGCAATCTCTAAGATGGATTAACCTTTATCATGACATCAATAGTTATTTAAAGGTGTCTGTGTCTCAGTGACATGTGACATAGTTCCAGTCAGGGAGGCAGGAGCGAGGGTCTGTGGTACATTCCTGGTTCTTTAGGATTTAATTCCCCAAGAACCATCTCTTCCCTCTCCCCATCCTTCCATGTCTGCGTGTGACCCTGGAAATGTTGTCACCATGTCGTCTCATGACGGGAGTCCCCTGGAACATGAAGCTGACTCATTGGGTGTATCAATGTGCAGAACTGGGGGAAAATTTTTCAGTATATGAGAGTTTGAATTAAACAACAGAGGCCACACATGTCCAGGCGTCTTGTTTCATTAGTTGGGGATCTTCCTTGTTGTTCAGCCAGTTCAAGGTGTCTTTCTGTACTATTTCCTGAAATAGCCACACACATCAACTAGATTCATAAAGTTAAGTTATTTTTTATTTTTTCATTTTTTTAAATTCGGGAATTGGGAGAGGGGACCAGCCAAGTTGTTCTTCAAACTTAGTTGTGGAACACCAATCACCATCTGGCTGCCCATCTGCAGCTCGTGGCCTCTAAGCTCAAGGTGCTGTGTTCAATCTTAGTTGCGGTTGGGCTACAACTCCACCATCCCATGCAGGAGTTGAACCAGCAGCCTTATTGTTAAGAGCACACACTCTATCCGCTGAGCCATCTGGGTGGCAGCTCAGCTCAAGGTGCCGAGTTCAGTCTTAGTTGCAGACGGGCATAGCCCACCGTCGAACAGGCAGTCTCATAGTTAGGTGTTCTCACCAGCTGAGTCATCCTGCCACCTGTTGGCAGCTCAGTGCAGGCGCAGTGTCACTGGCCCATGTGGGGATCGAACCGGCAGCCCTGTTGCTCAGAGATTGCTCTCTTAAGCTAACTCTTAACCAACTGAGCCACTCGGCCAACCCATAATGTTAATTTATTGATAGTGTGAAGAACACAAATCATGTGTGCATGTTGAGTTTGTGTCTTGCAACTTTCTAGATTTCACTTTCTATTTCTATTAGTTTTGTGGTGTAGTCTTTAGGGTTTTTTATATGTAAGACCATGTCACCTGAACATAGATAAAAAGAGATAAATTGACATCTTGCTTTCTGATTGAGACACTTTTACTTCTTTTCTTGTCTAATTATTCTCCCGAGGACTTCTAGTTCTATGTGGAATAAAAGTAGTCATAGTGAGGACTCCTGTCTTGGTCCTGACCTTTGAAGAATAGGTTTCAATTTTTTTCTGTGTCGCATGATGTTAGCTGTTGGCTTCTCCTATGTGGCTTTTCTTAGGTTGTGGTATATCACTTATATGCCTAATTCGTTGAGAGTTGTTATCATGAAGGGATTTTGAACTTTTTTCAGATGCTCTTTCTTTTTTTCTATATTTATTTATATGATGGTATAATTTTTTCCTTCATTCTGTGAAAGTTGTGTATCACCTTTACTGATTTAGATGTGTTGAACCATCCATGAATTCTAGGAATAAACTCCACTTGATAATGGTAAATGATCCTTTTAATGTGCTGGTAGATGTCATAGAATATTCTTGAGGATTTTTGCATTTATGGTCATCAGGGATATTGGCCTGTCATTTTCTTTTCTTTTAGTGTTGATATTGGCTTTGGCATAAGTGTAATACTCACCTCAATAATTGTGTTCCCTCTTCTTCCAATTCTTGAAAGAAGTTGAGAAGAACTGATTGAGAGGTGTTCATTGTTCTTTGAATTTTGTAAAAGTGACCTTTGAATCCATCTGGACCTGGGCTTTTCTCTATTGGGAGGATTTGATTACCTACTTCAAATATTATTTAAAGATTTGTATCAATCTAGCAATGTCAGGATCAGATTATAATTCAAGCAACAAATAAGTGGACTGAGAAATACAACTGTTCAACTAACAGGGTCTGGACTCAAAAGCGAAATTGCCACGTGCACACACATGGTGCTGAGATACCAGCTTTACAGACACCCTAATTCCGCATCCCACAGTCAGATCTGCAGCATAAACTGACACGGGAGCAGCTGGAGGTTCCACACCAGTGAAACACCTGACTCTATAACCTGCAGCTGGGGTTGGTCTCTGCAGGCCCTCAGGTGTACAGGACCAGTCCCACCTGAGACACAC